CAAATTACTGTGAGCATTTAAAAAACAATCAGTGCAGAAAAACGCTAAAAACATATATTAATGGAAGTATAACTTAACATTTTTCCCCTAAAGGGAATACAAATCATATTTGAATTTTGTATTTTCTCCACACAGTTCACTGCCAGGATGTGACCCAACACCCTGCAGTCAGCTGGAATTATCTGTCCAAATCTGCAGAGATGAACTGCAGCCACAAAAAAGATGCTGGTCATAACCAGATGTACTGGTACAGGCAGCGTCCAGGGGAGACCATGACACTTATTGTCTACACAATTTATGGACGGGCCCCTGATTATGTACAGAAGAATCAAACCAAATACTTAGCTACCAAAGAAAACATAGAGAACGGGGCTCTTACTGTGAGAAACCTGCAGCTGGAGGACAGTGGTGTGTATTTTTGTGCTGTCAGCAAACACAGTGATGTGAGAAGTATCAGCAGCTGAACAAAAACTGCTTGCCAATAAATCTGATGCATTAGAAGCCTTATTTTGACTTTTATATCTTCCCTGTAGGTGGTGCTGGAGCTCCAGAGATACACTTCAGCTCAACACACAGCACCGACACTAGCAGAGGGGAGGGTGTTAATCAAAGAGTGTATAGTTAAAAGTTTATTCAGTCAAGAACTTAGAGGCACTTAGAGTTTTCTGTGTTCATTCAAGCAGGAGGACAACATGTCAACATTATTCTTTTTATCTTTGCTCATTGGTAATAACTTTTATCATTCATGAATATCACTTCATCTATAGTTTCTACATGGTTCATTCATTTTCTTTCTTTCTAGGTGTTTGTCTGGTACTTGAGGTGCATCAGTCTCCCTCTGATCTCATCACACAACCTGATGACAAAGTGCAGATGTTCTGCACCCATGATAAAACAGACTACAGGGTGATGCTCTGGTATCAGCGCTTACCTGGAGACACAGCTATGAAACTCATTGGATATTTGAACTTTCAAAATGTCCAAATGGAAGAGTCATATATGAGGGACTTTAATATCTCTGGAGATTTGGGTGGGAATACAGCAAAGAATGGCTCTCTTATATTCAAACTTCTAGCACACAGAGCGACAGCGGCAGTTTCTATCTGTGCAGCTAGAGAAGCACACTGACAGAAATCCCCTCTGAACTTAACAAAAACCCTGCACAATCTTTTATCATCAGTGGTTTTGAATAAGACACTGAGTAAACTGCTTCCAGACACCTGTTTTTGTGGTTGTATTTTAGTTTGATGCAATCATATCATCAGCTAATGTAATTGAGTCTCTATTTATGTTCTGTTCTAAAATATAATGACATCGGGGCGTCGTGTAGCGTAGTGGTTTAAGCAGGCGCCCCATGTGTAGAGGCTACAGTCCTCGCTGCAGTCGGCCCCGGTTCGAATCCCGCATCGGACGGCCTTTCACTGCATGTCATTCCCCCTCTCTCTGCCTCCCCGTTTCCTGTCACTCTCCACTGTGCTGTCCATTAAAGGCATAAAAGCCCAAAAAAAAAAAATATATAAAATATAATGACATCTGTCACAAAAATCCAACATCAACAAAAGAGCATATATAGAAATTAAAGTTTAAAATGCAAATAAATAAAGCCACGCCTCCTTCCTGCATCATCGTTCCTCCTTAAATGTGAGAAACAACAGACACCCTGTCATCAATGAACTGATGCTGCATTACATCCATGATGTTCAGATCTCTACATGATGATTTCATTTCTCTTTTGCTATTTCCTCACAGGTAACAGCTGCTTCACTGTGAAGTAAGAGGTACCGTATTTATATTTACATCTTAAATCAATAATCTGTCCATCTCTGCTTACAGCAGGTGTTTCTCTGGGGGTTCAGGTCCATCAGTCTCCCTCTGCTCTCATCAGAAATGCTGGTGATGATGTACAACTTTTCTGCACCCATGGAAAATCTGACTACAGAGTGATGCTGTGGTACCAGCAGTCACCAGGGGACAAAGCTCTCAAACTTCTTGGATATGGATATGCACAGTTCAATAACGACAGCATGGAACCACCATTTAGAAAACATTTCAAATTAGCTGGAGATTTGAGCAGTGACAAAACAAAAAATGGTTCACTTTCCATAAACAAACTAAAGGCACTGGAACACACCGCAACGTACTTCTGTGCAGCTAGTCAGCCACAGTACATCAACCCTCCATCTGTTCTTTACAAAAACCTCTTCCCCTCTCTCCTCAGAAAGTAGGTTAAATACCCCCAATGATTTATCATTTATTCATCTTTGTTCATCATTAACTCAATTTCATGTCCCTTTCCTGCTTTAGACACATTAACAACTTGTCAAGAACTTGTTAATTTTGCTTCAATTACAATCATCTGTCTTTTCTGGATTAAACATTCAGATCAAAGATTAGTAATATTCCTAAAAGCCAAAGCCTTGAAGGATAAAGGTCATTTGGTGATAATGAATTCTCTTGAATATCAACAATTTCAGACTGATCAGCTCAGGGAAACTTATGAATTCAACTGAACTTTAAACACAGCATCAAAATCTTGCCTGGTTGAAAACCTCTATCATTATAGTGAAGGAGTGATGATGTAAGAGCAGCACCATCCTTATTATTCTTGAATGAAGCACACTGTAGTCAACAGGAAGTATTTCTACACAACAAACACTTTCAGTCACCATGAACTGAAGTTGCTCTACAACAGTCTGTACATCAACCTGAGCTCAGATTCCTCTGTATCACTTCCTCCAGCTGCTGATCCACAAAGCACAGCAGAGACTGTAGTTGATTCTTCACATTCAACATGACAGCATCTCCTCTCATCATATCCATCATTACTCTGATCTGGATTGGAGGTATTCTACACTGATGAAGACACTTTTAACTCTAAAAAATACTTTCAGACAGAGGAATGTAGAATATTTACATCCTCTTTCTTTCATCCTTTTTGACCCTCCTATTCTTTGGTGTTTTATTCCAAATTAACTGTTTTTAAAAGCTTTATAGTATAAAGGAAGGGTGTTAAAGTGCTACCTAACATTGTTTTTTATACTCTCTTCACAGGTGTTTATCTTAATAAAGAAAAACAAGTGTTTCAGACTCCAGCTGAACTGTTGGGGAATCCTAACAGTGTAGTCAACCTGAGTTTAACACATCATATCTCGAGCTATGACACGATACTCTGGTATCAGCGCTCAGTAGGAGACAGTTCTCTAAAGCTGATTGGATATATGAACTATAAAACTCCTAAGGTTGAGAAAGAATTTGAAGGACACTTTGAAGTGAGTGGAGATGGAGAGAAAACAGCTTTTCTTCACATCCTGAACCTGAGACACCCTGAAGACAGCGGAGAATATTTTGGTGCAGCAAGTATGCACAGTAATAGAGACAGTGACTCTCTCGAACAAAAACCTCCAGCAGATAAGAGCACACAGACAGGAAACCACTGAAACCACAGTCTTCATTATAACAGTTACTTCATTCACAACTGCTCCCATGACTCCCCATGGCTAATGAGCTTTGTTGACTCCCTCCTGTCCTGATGTCATTTCCGCCCTTCAGATCTCAAGTGTTAGCTCATTGTATTTTCAGTCATTTTATTTCCTCCTCCAAAGTCAAAATGATCCCAGACATCACCACCTTGACTTTCTTTGTACTCTGGGCTGCAGGTAAAGTTAACACACAAACACAATATGGCCTCTTCTACATTTTAATCATTTGTAGCTCTGAAGTGAACTTTTGATTTCACCTTTGTTAAAAACATTTTAAAAACATGTAAAGATACAGCTAATATTAAAGTGATTTAGTAGACATGTTTATAATGTTTTCTGTCTTTCAGGTGTTTCTCAGTCTGTGTTGATCACTCAGTGGCCCCGCTACATCTCCAGGCTTCCCAATGGCTCGGCAGAAATGCACTGCTATCAGAATGACACTGATTATGAATATCTGTACTGGTACAGACAGCTGAGAGGAAAAGATATTCAGTTAGTGGTTTATTTAGTAGCTGGTTCTGCAACCTTTGAAGAAGAATTCAAATCTGGTTTTCAGGCAGTGACACTGACGGAGAAGCAGTGGTCTCTGACAATATCCAGCGTTCAGGAGAAAGATGAGGCTGTTTATCTGTGCGCTGCAAGTCTACACAGTGCTGTGGAAGACCTCAGGTCTGTGACAAAAACATACAACCCAGAAGCTGTTTATTGTTCTGACACCTGATTCACATTAACAATAATCAAATGAAGGAAGAAACTCAACCACATTGTGGAGAAGATGATATCAGTGACTTCTACTGCACGTCATTTAACTTATATTAATGGAAGTTGGGGAAGAAGAAAGAAAGTGAATAAGGAATAAATTCCTATTTAAAATAAAAGAATATATTATTGGTCATTGTTTCAACACTTAAGATGATCTATGTCCGTCTTTTTCCGACAAGCGTCAGTTGTGCTGCAGCCGTGTAAATGACTGTCCTGGATTCAACCAACAGGTGGAGACACAGCACATGGCATGAAGCTTTTATCAGCAGAAGTGAAAGGTGATGAATTAACTGACACAGACACAACACCCTCCCTCTTCACCCTAAGTCTTATATTTCTAAAGTCTACACTTTCCTCACATCAGTACTTGACAATGTCTTCACCTGTGCAAACATTTGGTTTTCTCTTCATCTGGTTTTCATGTGAGATCTCACATTTCATCCTGAATTACATGAAACTCATCATTAGTTATGTTTAACTTGCTGAACAATCATTTTAACTACAATGTACTGAATCCTTGTCTGCTGCTTCTTTCTCAACAGGTCAGGTGAACGCTGTCACATTTCACCAATCTCCTCCCCAGATAGTGAAGGACAGCAGTGAGGTCCAGATTAACTGCAGCCATGATGATACGAACCTTGTAATAATGCTGTGGTATCAACAAAGAAAGAACAGTCCGTCTATGACCCTCATCGGATACGGATATGAAAGCTCCCCAAACTACGAGGGGCAGTTTGAAGAACAATTTACTCTGACAAGACAAAGCACAGTGAAAGGCTCTCTGATTATAAAGACAGCAAACCTGTCGCACTCTGCTGTTTATTTCTGCGCTGCTAGTACACAGTGATGTGGTTCAATGCCACTCCCTCACAAAAAACCCTCATCTTTTTCCTGCAATTGAGACTCCGGCAGAAGAGGCAGGATCTCACTTCATACAGACTCTCACTAGAATAAGCTGCGTTTCTCCTGCAGCAGCACAAACCTGGAGGATGTCTCCAACTGTGATCGGATTTCTTCTCATCTTGCTTCCATGTAATTGAATTAACCACAAAGAAGCAATTTATTTGTGCTGTTAAATTTTTTTCAGCCTTTATACAGTTGTTTTAGCTTCATGGCATCTACGTATATCAGCTGCTTTATTTTAACTCTGTTTTACCCACAGATCAAACAAAGAGTGTGAAGTTTCAGCCATCTCATCCAAAAATTGCAAACGAAACAGCCAGTGTGGAGATTAAATGCAGTCATGATGATACTGGACTTAATGTAATGCTCTGGTACCAACAAACAGACAGCGGTCTGATGAATTTAATTGGATACAGCTACATTGGCAGTGACCCCACCTATGAGGAGCAGTTCAAACATCGGTTTGAAATTAAAAGAGAAGAAGTTAAAACAGGAGCTCTGATTATTCACAGTGTGAATCTATCAGACTCAGCTGTGTATTTCTGTGCTGCCAGTACACAGTGATGTGGTTTAATGTCACCCTTCACCAAAAACCTGCTCTCTGTTCTCAGGTGTTTTCAAGTTCAGGATCCTGAAAGTTTGACTAAACGTGGAGTAGTTATTGGCATGATATACATATAAATACATATAATATATAAGATAAACACACACAAAAAGTTTATAAATAATTATTTTCACTATCACTTAATCTATCAATCAATTCTTTGATATTCAATTCATAATTTAAAAAAAACTATTTCTCATGTTGGAGAAGCTGGAACCAAAACGTTTTGCGTTATTGCTTTTGAAATGATTTAAAGATTAATTAGCAGAAGAGTTCGTTTCAGCTCGTTTCAACATTTTACTACAGAATAGCAGTAAAGCAGGAAGATGCAACTATTTTCAGTGTTTAATAATCTGCTTTTTATATATATATACATACGGTAGTTCATTGTTTAATCTACAAAATTGTTTAATCTACAAAATGTCAGAAAAAATGTCAGAAAATGTGGAGGAGAAGCCTAAGTGCACTCTTCAAACTGCTTGTTTTAAGATATAAAACTTACAATGACAGAACACAGAGAAGAGCAGAAAATATTCACAATTGAGTTCAATGTTTTACTCAAACAAAATGACAAGTAATCAATTATCAAAATTGTTGACTAATTTATTGTTGATCAACACATTGATTAAATGATTAATAATGTCAGCATTAACTGAAACTAAACTAAAATGATAGTTTGTTATATTACATAACAATTAAATAAAATATCTGGAATGTATTCTTGGAATTACATTAACTGAAAGTTATGACATCACAAGACCATATTTTTAACTCCTAATGACATAATTGCGTTGGCTAATAATGTGACCTCATGTTATAATAAGAGTAATGTAACAGTGAACTATGTTTTCTGTTGTATCCCTTAAAGGCAATCACTGGTTGATGGAGCAGGGTAATGTAATTACATTATCCAGTGATGACGTTTCACAGAATTATACTTTTGATGGTAAGATTTTAACGTAAATGTATTCTTGATTAAAAACTATTTATATGCCAGTTTATTTTATTTTATTTATTACTCTGATTCAGTGTTGAATTTACTGCTGCCAATAAATGTAGAGGTTCCTTACTTTGCCACTGTTACACACATAAACTTTGGGGGAATAATTAAATGCTATATGAGATTTGCAGCATTAGTTCTGGAAATCTCAGTCTAAAAAATGTCCTTAGCAATAAGGGAGGAATTAATATTTAATATGCTTCAAAGTTTCAGTTCATAAACAGCCAATGTGAATTACAGTGAGTCATGATCATGTGACCTCGTGTTTCCTTTATGCTGAACAGAGTGATGTGTGTCTGTATCACTCAGCTGAAAGAAGGCTCATCACTAACATGATCATCACAGTCCTTTATCTGTCACTTCTTTTGCACTCAGGTGGGTTTTATGTTCCATCTCAAACTGTCTGTTTTATCTAACCAGTGCCTGAATGTCAGGTTTCCATCATATAATTGTGTGAATCGACAGTACTGTTTTCTACATGTGCTGCAGGTCTCACTGTTGTAGTTCTGCAGTCTGGAGATCATGTGTTTAACAAAGGAGCCACCGTGACGCTGGAGTGTAGTTTGGGTCCAGGGCTCAGCATGGGCAGCCATACCATGTACTGGTACCGACAAAACCACTACAGAGCTCCAATAGAGTTTCTCAGGAAAGAGTATGACACAACTGTGGGCCACTTCCAGTCGTCCATCAATACATCCAAAAACTACTTCTCTCTTCAAATTACTGAGCTGTTCCTGAATGACAGCAGCACCTACTACTGTGCTGCCAGTCACAGTGATGCACACACACCAGACAGTCATACAAATACCAAGTGTGTCTGTAACACATGATATGAGGCAGGAAGGAGCCGTGGCTTGTTTGGTTTTCATACAATAAAGAAAGTTTTGTGCCGAAAAAAGACTAGGCCAATATTTACTGGACTCCCTTTACTCTCAAAACAACATGCCAAAGTCAGAGATACTGACATCACATTTTTCTCCATACTGAGATACTTTATACTATATCACTCATGTATAATTGATGTGCAACTAATGCAAGACTCATCATGGTCTCCTAATGAGGCTGGTTAAAATATTTTGTTGCAATATCTCTTTTACGTGTCTGAATCTGGATAATTTATGTTTGAGATGATATGAGAGAGAAAAAGAGAGTAGCACGAATGATAGGAGCATCCAAAATTCCTCTCAGCCAACTTCAATCATTAAGCTTCAAGCAGAAGAGTCTAGTTAGTTTAAAAAACGTCCCAATCTGAGATGCTTTTGTCCATGTGTTGTAGCGATCCGACTGTTTGTTTCATGTCAAACAGTCTGATCCTCTGAAGAAGCAACAGAGACGTCTAAACACTGCTGGCACAGTGAGACTGTAGCTGTACAGAGAAACTGGTGTGAGACATAACAGTGCTACTATTTTTTATAATCAATTACTTGTGTAAGTAAAACTGTGAAAAAAATAACTATTGTAGTTGTGATACAACTTGCTGTGCTGCTTTTCTAGCCTTTACAAAATGATAATGGATATTTTTCACTATATTCTGACAGTTTAGCAACCAAACGATTAACATACTAGTTTATGAAATAATCTACAGATTAATGAAGGAATAATAAATCAGAACTTCAACTAAAGGAAGAAAACATGTTCATTGGAAAGTACAAGAACTGCCTCTTCACAGTTCAATGATGTTTGTGCAACACCACAAAGCTGATCAGTTCAGATAAGTGAGCAGGTGAAAACATGGTGAGGTTGATACATCCTATACAACATTATTGCCCTGAATAGTGTGTCAACTGTGTCACTCTATCCTCATCTTCTTTCATATATAATTGAATTGCGTGCAGCCTGACAAGAATAAAGTATATGAAGTTTAAGAGGATGGCACACACTGACCTCTACAGGGTCCATGTGAGATTACACACAGATGTGATGGTGACAAAGTAAGTTCAATACTGTATGTAAAAGATGTGGCCAGTCAAATCATTTGAGTGAATAAATGTAGTTATGAAGAGGTTTGAATATGGTGTTATCTAAGTACAGCTGAGTAAATGCAATATACACATAATATAATGCATATACTGCAGTTAGTTTTATTAAGTATAAAAAAGGAACATAAACGATTATTACCATTCATGTCATATAATAATGATAATATTAGGGCAGACTAAAATGTTGTTGAGATTTTTTTTAATTTCGCGACAGATACATAAGATTACACAGTGAGCAGACTAATGCCATATGTAAATGTATAAATGCAAAACTTGTCCTCATCAATTTATCAAACAAAAAATTGAATATTTTAAAAGAACGGTGGAATGAACGAAAAAAAAGAATGTAATACTTGTTTAATGAACATTGAGTTTAAGCTAGAAGATGTGTTGTTTAAAGATGCCATGCCTTTATCTGTGTTTATCTTCCAATAATGTAATAATTTAAAAAACAAAACAAAAAGGATCAAAACTGTATTAAAAACTGGCGCAATGACGCATATGCATCAGTAAGACAATACTAGTAGCAAAACCAGGTTGTAACATTTTTCCTCTCATCAGTTCTGAGTTGTTATTACTGTATTATAACTTAAAAACTTGTTACACCGAGTATCATGTCACTATATAAATTTGTTGTTAAACTGCACTGACAGTTTTTATGGCCATCTGGGGGCAGCAGAACAAGCTGTGAACCCAACACTGACATACTGTCACCTTGTGAAGTTAATATGGCAAATGTGTTGACTATCTACACACCCGGCAGACACAGAACAACATTAGCATTTGTTTGGAGTTGTGTCTCTGTCCAGCTGGTGAATTTGGGGCCAATATTAACTCTCTTTTAGCTCTGGTTTTGGTCTCTACTAGTTCTACCATATGAGGTTCTTTGACTCCACTGTGTTTACCAGTTGGATGTTAACTTTGTCTTCTGTTTAGTGCTGGGCAGGTAGTGTAAAGTGTAGAGAGAGCAGAGACAGACCAGATGATTAAGTTGCAGCCAGAAAACAAAAACTATGAGCTCAAAAATGTTGAAATGCTTCATAGAGCTGAGGGGGACAGCAGAGACAGGTAATAACTATCGGTGGGTACAGGAGGACAACTTTCACAATTATACAGATTTCTATGAGCCATAATTAAAATTATATATCTGATAAGTACAGCTTTAAGCTTCGATTACCGTCATTACTCACTAAAGGGAGACTTCTTACAGTGTCCATTTGAAATCTCAAAATTAGATTAAAAAATTAGCAATTTAATTTCAACATTTTAATTTACGGATCTCCTACAGTATCAGTCACATCCGTCAGTGAACGCTCCTCAGTAAATTTGTCTCTGCACTGATGACTGGGTGGATAAAGAGGTGTGACCATGAGAGGTGTCACTTCCTCTGAACAGCTATAAACAAACACAAAAACACTCTCCCTTTTCCTTCCCTCTGTTGTTGCTTCTTTTCTTAGTCGACACTGAAATAGCAACAGTCAGACTGGAGCCTGTTCAGCTGTCAGTCAGCCCAACCTGTACAGCTGCTCTCACACAGAGAGAGATGGAGGCTGAGATATGGAGACGATGGGTGGGGGAAGGAGAGAGCAGAGAACGAGAAAGACTTTAGGTTTTTGTGTGATGCTTTTTCATCGTGGGGACAGGGGGCCACGGTGATACAATCCCATAGAGCCGCCGTACAAAAACCTCCTCCCATTGACACCCATTGTGTAGACGGCTACAGGCAACTTGAAACACTTGGCAGAGCAGAAAACGTCAATAATCTGAAGCTGTGTCTGATGGCAGGACACTTTGACACTGAAAAGTTCATTTATATGCAGAAATATGTTGGAAAAAGTTTGAAAAATGACTTTTGAATTATAATTAGAGAGTCTGGATTCTTCTTTTACTCATCTTGACAAACACAAAAAACTCTGGACATTATGAAGATCATCTCACAATCTTAAAGCTTCTTCATTCTCTGGATTAATAGACGGTGTCTCAACATCATGATCATGGAAAGTTTTCAGACTTTTTGGTAGAGGAGAAAGTCAGTGTGACTATGGAAATGAAGCTTACTTTGGAAAAGGAACAAAACTCACTGTTTTGGGTAAGTCAGAGCTCTCACAACCTCAGTTCACTACAACTAACTTAAAACAATTAAAACATGCTGGTGTGACAGTGAAGGACAAACTGTTGTTATAAAAAAGCTGAAATATTAAGCTGAACAGAAAACACTGTGACCTACTCTGATCCTGCTTACTTTGGCCAAGGAACCAAACTGACAGTTTTAGGTAAATATTTCTGTTTATTACTGTATTTTGGTAAATTTCACAATGTCACAATTCCACACAGCTTTAGAGTCTCACTATAAACTGACGTATTAGCTGTGAAAGAGCTGAAATATTGAGCTGAGCAGAAAACACTGTGACCAACACTCAGCCTGCTTACTTTGGCCAAGGAACCAAACTGACAGTTTTAGGTAAATATTTCTGTTTATTTCTGTATTTTGGTAAATTTCACATTGCTTTAGAGTCTAAGTAAAAACTGAAGTATTAATAAAAACTTTACAAAGATAATTCTGGTAGAAAAACACAGGAGTTTCATGCACAGTTTTATGCACTGTGACAATGTCAACGAAGCCTACTTTGGAAAAGGAACAAAACTGACTGTTTTGGGTAAGTCTGAGCTCTCACATCTTCAGTTCACTACAACTAACTAAAAAATGTAAATGCTGGTGTGAAAGTGAAGGACAAACTGTTGTTATTGAAAGATGAAATATTGAGCTGAGCAGAAAACACTGTGACCACCAATAAGCCTGCTTACTTTGGCCAAGGAACCAAACTGACAGTTTTAGGTAAATATTTCTGTTTATTATTGTATTTTAGTAAATTTCACATTGCTTTGGAGTCTAAGTAAAAACTGAAGTAATGGTAAAAACTTCATAAAGATAATTCTGGTAGAAAAACACAGAAGTTTCATGCTCAGTATTTTTGCACTGTGACAACCTCAACGAAGCCTACTTTGGAAAAGGAACAAAACTGACTGTTTTGGGTAAGTCAGGAGTGATTAAAATGGAACAGATCCAGTTATCTTTGTGACTGAAGTGGTGTATTAAGAATTCTTATGCAATTGGGTACAAGTTCAGCTCAGTGGTTTTTGATGTTAAGCCTTAACGCTGTGCCAATTACGAAGCTTATTTCGGCCAGGGAACAAAACTGACTGTTCTTGGTGAGTAAAACATCAAACTTTCTTCTCGTGAATTCAGCTCTAAAACAAGTAAAACGAGTTAAAGCAGGTCTGTTGTTTGAGGAAAAATATTTTTGATGCATAAAACGTTTAAAAACCAGACTGCAGTGCAAACAGTGTTGTTTTGGATTTTAAGAAAAGTGACATTTACGACATAAGTAAAACAAGTTAAAGCAGGTATATTAATTGGGTAAAAAGTTTTGCCTTACAAAAAACTTGCAAAGGCCAGACTAGTACAACAAATGTTTTTTGGATTTTAAGAAACATGAAACTTAAAACACGAAACATTTAAAAGTAATTAAAAAGTAAATAATGAAAGTAAAAACAGCATCTTGGGCTGTTTTGAGCACTGCTCAAATGCACTGTGACACTGGTTATGAACCTCACTTCGGTGGAGGAACAAAGTTAACTGTATTAGGTAAGAAAGAGATATTGTATTTACAGTCTATGATAAGGTCTGGGGTAAGAAATCAGAATGAATGATTTAAAAAAAACGTTGTAACTTAAGTTTTTCTGTTACAAACTTATTGTTTTCAAATCTCTTCATGGTTTAAGTTCAGCTCAGAGCCTTTTGTTCTGAAGCTTAAACACTGTGTCAGTTCGAAGCTTATTTCGGCCAGGGAACAAAACTGACTGTTCTTGGTGAGTAAAACGTCAAACTTCATCTCATGAATCCGCTTTCGAGAAAACTAAAATATATAAAAGTCGACAGGTTACTTGTTGATAAAGGGTTTGTAAAAACAGAGGCTATGGTGCAGCAGGTGATGGGATCTAACCTGAAGGAAAGTTACATTTACTCAAACTAACACACAAAGAAGGAGCCCAAAGTAAAAGCAGCATCTCAGGTTGTTTTGAGCACTGATCAAGTTTACTGTGACTCTGGTACTTCAGAGGCTTACTTTGGTGGAGGAACAAAGTTAACTGTTATAGGTAAGAAAACATTTTAAAGTTAATTAAATATTGTTGTTGATAGGATTTATTTTGTTCAGATGTTTCTCACACTGTAAATTAACCCCAAGGCTCGACTGACTCCTAACCATATAATCATGATTAAACCATGATTGTGGCTGTCACTGGGCTAAATAATCAGAAAAATAGTCATAAAAAGATATAGATGTGGAGAGGGTGAAAGGTCATGGAGGAAGTTTTCACTCTTTTGCAACCTAAAGTAGATTGAAGTCAGAAGAGTATTTACATGTCAAAGAGTGAAAAAGTTGAAAAATGTGTGGCACAGATAAGGAGGCAGTAGGAAGAGTTTTTGTTACAGTTGTCTGTCTCTGTGCTCCTACACGGAGGCTTACTTTGGAGCTGGAACTAAACTCACTGTTTTAGGTAAGACATGTTGCAAAAAATAACCTAGGAATGATTCACAGCTTGTTTGCTGTATGTATATGTATTAAATAAATGGCCGGTATTAAAAATATACTTAAAGAACTTTTACTTCATGCTATTGAACAAAGTATTCTCTTTTTAGAAAGGGGAAAAGAAGTTAAGATAGAGGTTTATCCACTAAAAACAAGTGTTGTCTGGAGTCTCCAGCAAAAGTAGTGTGGCAATAAAACATTTGGCTCTGTGCCCAGAGTATTACTCTCACAGTGAGTTCTTATCAGCCCTGTCAAATACTGTGAGTTTCCAGTCAGAGGCTTACTTTGGAGCTGGAACTAAACTCACCGTTGTAGGTAAGATATTATTAATATATATGTTAATATATCAAAAGGTAAAATGTAAGGTAAAATGTAAAATTATGTTTCAATACCTCTAACCAGGTTAGTTACAAATTAGTTAATTATGATGTAAACCTTAAATTGGCAGTTTAAAATAGTTAAAACAGATATCTTTTGGTTAAAGCACATTTTCAAGAGCTTTGTGTGCACAGTAACGTGTTTAGTTTAAACCGAAAAAAGAACACAAAGACAATCTACAGCTTTCAGTGCTGAATGGTTGAGCAGTTTTTTCTGTAGCCTTGTATCAGTGTGAACAACTACGAACCAGCTTATTTTGGCAGTGGCACCAAACTGACAGTGTTGGGTAAGAAAATGATAAAAATCATATGCATAAATATTTGTTCTCATCTTCGTTTAACCTTAATGAGCAAATTTATTGTTAAGGAACTGTTTTGATGTCTTATATGTGTGTGTTTGTTGTAAAAACTGACAGAAAAAAAACACTGTAAAATCTATGTAAGATAAATCTCTCAGTTCTACAGCTACATTTGGTTTAGGCACAAGACAGTTATTATACTCAACCGACTACTGTTGCGGTAAACTCATAATCTTAAAACTGTGAAATTTAGCATTTGCCTTGAAGTATTTGAAACAGCCATAATTCTTGCATTTGCAAAAAAAGTAAAGTTAGAGAAATATATAAAGTGCATGAATAATTAAGAAAGATAAGGGCGAAGTACTACTTGGTGAAAAACATAAATACAGCAGTTGAATACATTAGGTTTAAACATTGTAAGTCTCTGTCAGTTTTTTACATGAGAGTCAGCAGCGTGCTCTGGCAGTTATCCTGCTTATTTTGGAGAAGGAACCAAGCTAACAGTTCTTGGTAAGATCTTTAAATAAAACACAAACATTTATCTGAAGAAGTTCAATCTCGGTGACTCTCAGTGTGAATAATGTAAGCTGTAATGATCATGTTGTATTTGATGTTAATGTTCAGTGTGATTTGCTGTCCCTGTGTTCTTGTATAAATTCTGATGTCAAGATGTCACATATACTTTAGAGTTAGGTGTTGGACGGTGGTTTGTTGTAGATCCACAGGCAGCTTTAATCTACTGATTTATTTCTTTTGTCCTTGTTGAGCCAGGGCGTACAATCACCCCACCAACAGTTACAGTGTTTAAACCTTCATCAAAGGAGTGTCGAAACCTGAAAGATGAGAAGGAGAGGAAGAAGACCTTACTCTGTGTGGCCAGGGATTTCTACCCAGACCATGTCAGTATGTTCTGGCAGGTTAATGCGAAGAATGTCACCAAAGGTGTGGCCACTGACCCCGCTGCCTGGTTGGATAATGGAACCTACTTCATCACCAGCAGGTTGAGGGTCCTTGCCGAGGTCTGGACCACACCCGGGACAAACTTCTCGTGCTTTGTCAGCTTCTTCAATGGGAACAAAACTATCGAAACTAACGAAACAGTTTTTGCTGTTGAAGGTATGTTCATGTGGAACTCAGAAATAACCTAAACCTGATCTTTTTACTGCTGGACATACATGTAAACAATCATCTGTTCTTGTCTGATCCGTTTCTTATTTCTTGTCAGCCGGAAGTGACGGAAGTGTCAAGACAAGAGGTAAATATATCATCATGAGCGTCTGTTCACCTCACATCAATTCTGAAAACCGAAAATATCTACTGTTCAAATAAAATAAAAGATAGAATTCATAAGCACATGTATATAAACCAAGAGCTGCGTATATAATCTGTCTCCACAAAGTGCATTGGATATTTCCTCTTTGAACCATGTAACTCATCTGAATGTTTGAACTTTGTGCAGTGACATATTTGAGGAGCACACAGAGTTTCAAACTCTCCTACACTGTTTTAATCATCAAGAGCAGCATCTATGGAGCCTTTGTGGCGTTTCTGGTGTGGAAACTTCAGGTTTGTCAAACACTTTTCATCAACTGTCCTTGACATAAAACTGGCTCCATATATTTTACTATGTGAATGAACAGGTGATAAAAAGAACTTGTTGTGTTTGTGTATTGTCTGTTTCAGGGTTCAACTGGAAAGCAGAAGTACTGAGAGCTGAGCTGAGGTGAACCAACTCTGGCAGATGGATTATCTTGTTTTCTGTAAATACAACTGAAAATATAGTAGTTATATTTCTACTGCTGTATGTTATAGTGCATTTGCACTTGTATATCAATGAGCCATTCGATTAACAGTTCTGTGCTTATTCTTTTTACAATGTTAAAGCTATAACCAGCATGCAAATAGTTTAGCATCAAGTTTTTATCGATACTTAATGCATCATTCTATGTGTTTGTGGTGGTTCAACGGTTGTGTGCTTTGTTTTCTTCTCAATAAAAGTGTTTCAGGAAAATCTTGACAAACATGTTCTGTCATTTTTCTTTGAGGGTTTGTCCTGAGGATTAGACAGATAAACTGCAACATCTGTCAGTTGCTCCAAATTGATGCAATAGTTTCCATCCTCCCTCTTTCTTCTCACATCTCATCACTGAACTGATAGTGTGAGGTATTTTTAGCAGCTCACCAACCGGCCTGTTTTCTGAGAAATCAACTACTATCCACCTACATGTGTTGAAACATCTCAGGTCCATTTGGTTCATTACAAGCTTTTCCAATGATGTGACTCATATTAAATTAGATTCCATCAACTAATCTGATTTTTTTTTCTTTTTGTGAAATTATTTGAAGTTATTAATGTGGGTTTATTTGTCATATCTAGTTTTTCCACTTTCCACGAACATAAGCAATGCATTACAGTTTGTATTCTCTTCATGAATTAAGAAATTCCTCCTTTAGTTCAGACACTGTCAGAAACAAAGAAAATGAGTGTGTGTCGACCACACAACAACAGGAAATCAACGTTCTCCTCCGTGTACAAAAGAAGGTCAAAGCTGGTGTTGTGAGAAGACAGACTGGGGCTTGAAACTGTGCAGAGGAGAGGATGTGGTCACACAGCAGCCTGCAGATTGCTCTCTGTGCTGAGAAATGACAGAGGTGCAAACTTCCACCTCACCACAACCTCCGGCTCACAGGCCGCACCTGCATCTCTGCACCAACTCACACCCACACTGCTCATCTCTGAGCAAACAGCTGGGAAAACCTCCATCTCTGTGTCAACTGAAGCTACACAATCAACTTAACTATGTGCTGTATTACATACAACAGCTGTTAACTTTGATCTGGTGCACACAGTTGGATTTGAAGCTTTTATGTTTTATATGGAAAATGTATATTGTTGTAGACTAAACGTTATCAGCAGTAATAAACAATCACTATCAGTAATGAATAATAATTAAAGACTGAGGGTGTTTAATTGTAATCTCCTTATCAAGATGCAATATATGACTGTATTTGAACCATATCACGCAATTTAGTAAAAACTTACGTCTAAACTGTGCTCCATCTAAGTTTAATTCACATTTGTAAAGAACCCAGGGGGCGTGAAACTGCGGAAGAACACTTTCTACTTTCTCCATTTGTTTCCTTGAAAAACATGTTTGTGCTTATCAGATAAACAGGAAAAAGTGTCTGAGACGGCAACACAAACACGGACTTTCATTTCCAACCGTTAGAAAACGGACTTCAATGCTCTCACCCTGCATTATTTTTTAAGTTTCAGCAAAAGCATAATAGAAGGTCGTAGTGAATTCATGGAATAAATGAGGCAAGTGCTTTTTAATAAACCATATCTAAATATTTAAATATGGTTTATTTAAACCAAGTGAGCAATATGCAATCTGAGATATCATAAATGTTGCCCCTTAAATTTGACAAACCAAACCAGAAGACTCCAGAACAAAACATTGAACCATCTGCAACAACCAAACTGCTGAGATCCAACAAACTGAAAGCCGTAACTGCTAAAATCATTATTGTTACAAATTATATTTTTGGAAACTATTCTTAAATACGGAAATAGATGGATCTAAATATAAAATATTAATGATAATAATAATCTGAGAAGTTTCAAAGAATAAAAGGTGAATACCTATTGACATGAGGTTTAAATGCTGATAGAGTATAATGATTTTTAAATTTGAACATCAACATTTATAATCTCTGTCTGTGACATCATCAGTCTGACTGATAGTATCATTATTAGCAGCTGTTCCCAAAAGCTCTGCCTCCTGTTGATGGTTTTAGAACAAGACAGAAAATTTGAAGCAGCAAACATGCCTCTTTCATTATTTGAAGCAACCACACACTATTTTAGGAAGTTAAAATACCAGGCTGGAAGTTTTCTGTTCCACATGGATACTAAACTTAATGTCTGGATAGATAATGTTTAATAAAGGCTGGGAGACGACAATCACTGTCAAGTCGTAGGTAAACACACTTCAGCAACTTGACACATGAAAAAACTGAACCCACATGTTTTGTTTCAATTAGCTTAATTTCACTTGACAGGTTTAACAACCCCATCTGGTGCAAACTGAATATTAAGTCATGTGTAGGATTCCCAAACTGTAATTCAAGCCAACACAGGTTTTATCAAATTATTATATATATGTATAATAAGTGTGTTTATGACATCTCATTGTCCTTTATGTATAACACACTCTTTAGGAAAGGTGCGATGCTACTTGATGTAAAACGGATGTAAATATGCTCACATTCACAGTGCATTCTTCTAATAGATGTTAAGTTTATCACTTGTTCAACTAAGGACCAGTGGCTGTCAATCGTTGAAGAAATCTCCTTAATGGAAAATTTGACACATATATTTTGACCAAGAAAAACACAACTGGATGGAAAATGGAGGGATTGGACAGCTTACAAGACTAAAACTGGTGATGTCAACAGACATTGCCAGGATTGTAAGAATGTAGTAAATGTATCTCCTAAGCATTGTTCGTTCTATGTTGCTGACGCTGTTTCTTGGTGTTGATTTTGATAGATGAATAAAGTTTTAAGTGGTAAAAAGGTTTATAATTTGTTTAGCATTATGACCAAAACATGACTAAAACTCACCATGGACTCTTACATCTCTGGACTCTCTCCAGCTGCTGCTGTGTGGGGGCTCCACATCTGTAGACACCAGAGTCTGCAAACTTCAGGTGCCAACTGTCAGGCTGCCATCTGCTGGATAAACCTGCAACACGGCAGTCAGTCAAGCTATAATAAAATTAAGATGCAAACCTCTGAGCCTTGATTTCATGCATGTAATGTCTTTGAATCACATTTAGACATAAGAGTAGAAGGGGAATTTGATAGCTCTTAAAAAGGCATAATTTACAACTCCATTAAGTCTGCAGTTGTGAATATTAACAACATAATTTGCAGATAATTTCTGAGGTTCTGTGATCAAATTGTTCATTCGAGGGATTTTCCTGGTGAACAAAAGAGCTAGTACAAAAGACAGAATCAAGCCGTACATTTTATGTTTCACAATCATAAGACACTCCTGCAAACTGCTGCACTCATCTGAAGTTAAGGTCACCTATTGTTTTTGTAAACTGAAAAATCAAGGCCCAACTTCACAAAGCTTTTACTTATTGAATACACTTATAGAATTTTTAACACCAACAGGGGGAGAAAGAAAACTAATGTAGAAACATCACCCTGTTCACTACACAAGTGTTGCTGAACTGACAAGACCAGAACAAAAAGCTAACAGCAGAAGGTCACATCATCTTTAACATAATGTTAATTATCATCATATTTTTCTTCTTTAGTCTCTGAGTGAGAGACAAATATTTTTTAAAAAGTAAAAGTTTTGCACAGAAAATGAGTTTAGTATCTAAAATGTTTGTTTGTTTTTTTCCCCACAGGTGCCTCTCACAACAAACATGTCGATCAAACACCTCCTTTCATCATTAAGAATACCGGTGAATCTGTTGACAGTGAGATCAACTGTTCACACAGCATAACAAATTATGATCGCATTCTCTGGTACAAACAAGAAGGACAAAGCTCTAAAGCTTCTGGGATATCTGTATATAAAAACCATAAATGTCGAGGACAATGTGAAAAGAAAAATCACCTTTGACGGAGATGGTGAAAAATATTCAAAGCTCACCATCTCTAATCTGTCATTAAGTGACAGTGTTGTGTATTTCTGTGCTGCATGTCAGTACAGTGCTGCAGAGTCCCCTCAAATCAATACAAAATCCTTTCTGTGTGCCAGACAGACAAGATGTTTAGTTTCCTGAACACCTGTGGCTTTGAAGAGTTTAACTATTAAAGCATGTAACAATTACAATTTAAAATGACCTATCATTATATAGTAATTATTATATTATATTATATTAAACTGTTTCTTTGGACTATATGTTTTATGTTATTAATTGATAATGTTTTATAAAATTTCAAAATCAGACCACTGTTTATCATGTTTCTACTCTTTTCTTTATTAATGTCCAGCTTGATGTTCGTTTCGCTCCTTCAAAAATGTATATAATTAAGAACACAACTAAATACAGCATGTCACACAATACAACCTGGCCTCTCAAGCTTGTCAGTGTTACCGGTCAGAATTAAAATGAATGTACTGTGATGTACTGTAGGGGAACCCCAAGTACCACTTATACTACCATCTACGTATACCTTGAATGAACAGGAATATTTCAATACAGCAACTCACAGGATCACATCACAAAACGCAATGAAACCCACCAGTTGCAGCTCTTTGTATCAACTAAGTGAGACTGGGAGTTTCTGTCAGAACATGGATATTATCATTATACAAGGCCTCCTCAGGTGGTCCATCTGTTTGCTGTGGACCGCAGGTAATTACCAATAAGATCAACTGTGGACTGTTCTCATGTTTTTACAATTGAATGGGATTTCATAATCTAGCACTATTATTCTATTATGTTATCCTTTATTGTTAAACATATAGGGATTATTGATGGGAGTGATGTCACCCAGACCCCCATACTGTGGAAAGACAAGGGTGACAATGCAACAGTGGAATGCAGCCACACCAAGAGTGATGGCTACTACCAGATGTACTGGTACAGACAGCTGCTAGACAGCAAAAACTGCAAAGTTAAAATGTTCTCTAGTGGTAACTTTTGTTGTTATGTACACACATAGGTCTAACTGGTGGGAGTGATGTCACGCAGACCCCCATGCTGTGGAAAAACAAGGGTGACCATGCAACAATACACTTCAACTACACCAAGGGTGATTTTTACTACCAGATGTACCGGTACAGACAGCTGCCAGGAGAAACCATGAAACTAATTGTGTTCACAACAACATCTAAAAAAGATCACAACTTTGGAGATTTCAGGAAAGAGAAATTCTTAGCCACCAAACCTGACGCTCACAGTGGGACATTCACAGTAAAGAACCTGGAGCCAGGAGATTAAGGCTTGTATTTCTGCGCTGTGAGTCAAGACAGTGATACAGACACATGTGAAAGCTGAACAAAACCCCAGCGCACTTTTCACAACTGTTACCAAATATGTAAAGTACTATATGGGAACCTCGAGTACAACAAACACTCCAAGTCACACTTTGAGTCCTTGTGTGGATTTTAATAGACAACAACAAGATCAGAGAACATCACAGAGTACAAGACACTCCCACCTGCAACTCTTCATATCTCTGTAACTACACTGACAGTCAGGTACAGTAGGAGACTCGGATCTTTAGAACATGAACATCCAACATGTTCTCCTCAGCTTGTTACCAGTTCTGCTCTGGAACAAAGGTAAACATCTAGGGTTGGTTAAATTTGTTTTAATACAATGAGACATGTTGTGTATTACTATTCACACATTTAAAAACAACAAACCTTTTATTTATTTGTCATTGGCATTAAATTATTAATTTTTCAAAGAATTTTGTAAACTCTCTTTTAAGGGTTGCCAGCAGATGTGAACAGTTTAAAAATGGTGTGAGAATTGAAATATTCATTACTTTTGTATGCTGTTGTAAACAGGTTTTATTGATGGGAGTGATGTCAACCAGACCCCCATACTGTGGAAAAACAAGGGTGACAATGCAACAATACACTGCAACCACACAAAGGGTTTTGACTACTTCCAGATGTACTGGTACAGACAGCTACCTGGAGAAAATATCAAACTAATTGTGTTCACAACAACATCTAAAAACGACTTTGGAGATTTCGACAAAAAGAAATTCTCAGCCACCAGACCTGGTGCTGAGAGCGGGACATTCACAGTGGGGAATCTGGAGCCTGGAGATCAAGGCTTGTATTTCTGCGCTGTGAGTCAACACAGTGATACAGACACATGTGGAAGCTGAACAAAAACCCCAGAAACTCCTGTACAGTAGGGGGACCTCAAGCACAATCACAGATCATCATACAGTACTGACACTCCCATATTCAACCCTTCATATCTCTGTTGTTACGTCACACCTCCCCTCACATAGACTGACAGTGGCTCACATCCAAGTTCATTTTCTTCAGAGCAGAATGATGATCACAGCTGGTCTGATCAAACTCTCTGCAGCTCTGCTCTGTGTTGTAGGTACTGTACATTATGACTCTGAGGACTGAGGGGAGAAAATGTCACTTTGTCTTTTCTTGTAGCAGATATGAATTAGTAGTAATAAAATATTAATGATTTAATTATGATCATTTGTCTACATGACTAAACTGAGTCACATTTTCCCCTACAGGTCTCACTGATGGGAGTGATGTCACTCAGACTCCTCTGCTATTGGGGGATGAGGGTCAGTCTGCCACAATGAACTGCAGTCACACTAAGGGCAGTACATATCGAGAGATGTACTGGTACAGACAGCTGCCAGGGGAGGGAATAAAGCAAATAGTTTTCACAACTGCATACAGTGCTCATGAATATGAAAAAGGCTTCAATCAGGACAGATTTCCAGCACAGAAGAGCGATGCTGAGAATGGATCTTTGACTGTGAAGAAGCTGCTGCCTGAAGACAGTGGGGTGTATTTTTGTGCTGTGAGTCAACACAGTGATACAGGTGACTTAGACAGCTGCACAAATACCCAACGGTTGTGTCACAGTGAATTGAGTTAAACAATCCCTTTAATGAACTGTAGAGGGAACTACACACAAATGGTTACACTTCACTTTGGACAAGAGGAAGAAAATATTAAAATACACCCTTGACTTTTTATCATTTCTTTTACATTGAATTTCATGTTATTATTTCCTGTGTAACATTGCATAATGACTATTATGCCATCTTATTTCTCCCTATGCATGAGAATCTGTCTTAAAAATTATTTCAATTTAAACAAGAGAAAATAAACTGTGATCCCACTAACAACTGTATATTTTGAGAAACCTGAGAAAATGTAATTTTATTTTATTTTCATCATATTAGTTATATTTGTTGCTGTTGTATTCTCCTTTTTGTTTGAGAGTGTCAATTGCATGACCTCTAATTGATTAATTAATGCTTTTCTTTAATTCATGTGTCAAGATTCATTCCTTTTGAATGTGTACAAAATGTAATCCCTTACTTGAATGGTGTTTTTGAACTTCCTGTTTTACTGTTTGTTGTCTACACACTAAATTTTACTTAACATTAAAATAATCAAGCTGGTGTTTTGTCACATTTTCAGATTTAAGGCCCTACTTGATGGTCACAAATACAGTATTCTATTCTGTGACAGACTCAGCAACTATAGATGACTGGATATTGAAAATGAAATATGACATGATCTATAAACCACAATCACCCCTGTTTATACTGCCAAAGATTATGACTAGCACCTGGAATCAACCACACTCAAGGATGTCTTTATTACACTTGCTGCAGTCTAATTCTCCATTGTTTTTAATGTTGTGCTCAGTTCAGCACATCACAAATCATCATACCTGACCTCCTCTGCTTGACAGTGTTACTGATCTGAATATAGGGGAACCTCAAGAACTACTTTACTCCCATTTGCATTTGACTGTCAGTGTGGACTATCAGCTAAGAAGACCAGAGGTTACACACTGCAGAAACACGCCTACATGTGACTCCTCATATCTCAGTAACTACACTGATCGATTATAATGAGACTAAGTTTTAGAACATGGACATTATCAAATACATTCTCCTCAGCTCGCTGGTATTTGTGCTCTGGATAAAAGATAAAGTAGTAAGTAGTGAGAATGGCAAGTTTGTTTCAGCGATCAGAAGGTGATACAGGTTTTAAAATAGTCTTATGTATGCAAGATAAAATGTTAACTTGTGGGAACGTTTACTGTCACACACATAGGTCTAACTGGTGGGAGTGACGTCCATCAAACTTCAACACTGTGGGGAAAAAAAGGGTGACAATGCAACAATAGAATGCAGCCACACCAAGGGTGATGGCTACATCCAGATGTACTAGTACACACAGCTGCCAGGAGAAGCAATGAAACAAAGTGTATTCAAGATTGTAGACATAAAACCACTGGACTCACTCACTGAACCCTAAGGACACTTAATGAATGACTGTAAGATATGGTTAATTGCACTACCAAAAGTATGCATAGATTATATTGTAAAACCTTAAAAAAGATCAATACTCAAATATTGAGCGTTCAAGCATCAACTAAAATGTATTAACATAATTATTTACAGACAGCACATCAAAATGTCATCACATTTTATATATAACATAAGTTACAAAAGAAAAATCTTGCTTGAAAATCTTGATTTAATACACAGGCCAACACTAGACAGCCACTATGTCTAAGCTACATATGCTTTCTCATGCTGTAAATTACAAGATATAAATACTGTTTTTTTTTTTTTTCTTTCAATGTTTCTAAGTGAAGTGGTAAAATTCATCTGATAATTTTCTAAATTATTTCCGAATTAGAAACACAAAAGTGCTTGTTTTACGTTGAGAAGTTAGTATCTTCTACATATTTATGCATACAGTATGTATATATTTTTTATAGACTGATTGGAGCATTCATAAATTGATTTTAGCACCGTAAACAAAACACTGTCATGTACATTAATCATGTATTTTCAGGGGAAAAAGTAAAACCTTCAAAATAACAAACTGATTTGACAATGAACAAATGCACTGCTTCTTCCCTTAAAACTCAACTGCAAAATTCAGACACACAGCTGGACTTGCAAGAAATAAATATAATATACTCCACTGTACTGTTATAGAAGGGTTTCAGGGTTCATTTCAGGTCTGTGTTATTTTGTTGCCGTTCATAAGGTGGCAGTACAGTACAGCCATAGGGTATAGTCGCAGTCCAAGAAGAGGACGTTGCATTAAGACACCACCCACTTAAATAATGTTTGTTTTCCTGATGGGACGGGTTATAAAGACACAGAGCTGTGAGTATTCAGTAGAACTGCAAATATACTGATGAAAACACAGTATCAATAACAGCAATGTTCTTAAAGTCAGTCATGAAACACAACAAGATGATCACCGCCTTCTCCATAACCTTTAATATCATAATGGTGTCAGGTAATGTAAGAAAATGGTTTTCATCTTGTATTCACACGTTATCTTCTAAAACTCAAGTTGAGTGTTTACTTTTACATTCATGAAGATTCCCCCTCATCACGTTCCATGAAATGTTTATTGTTGTGTGGTTTTTGTTGATGATTTCTCTACAGGTTCCTCACTCAGTGACCAAGTCCACCAGAGTCCAGTCGACATTTACAAGGAACCTGGAAAAAAGGCCCAAATTAACTGTTCACACAGTATCAACAGCTATGATCAAATCTTCTGGTACAAACAATCAAAGAATAAAAAACTGCAGCTCCTGGGACACATGTATTTAAACATTGAATATCCAGAGCCAGGACTGGATGTCAAGATAGATGGGAGTACAAATAAAGACAAGACCTGCACATTAACAACTGAAGAACTCAGTCTCAATGACAGTGCAGTGTACCTCTGTGCTGCTCATTACCACAGTGCTACAAATCACTGCTCCTCAGTACAAAAACCTCCTCATCACATTTTTTCATCAGCTCAATGCGCCATACACCTGTGTCCCTTCCTCTCATTAGGTGGCAGTATATCATCATTCAGAATTTTATACTGAACCGGTGGTGTGTAGTGGGAGTTGACGTGATGGTTATAATGTTAAGAGGAGGAGGAAACACTATGACACCACCCACCTACCGAGCTCAAGTTTATTTGGCTAATATGAGAGTTTAAGGAGGTTGGAAATAATCGGATCAGCTGATACCCTGAAGAAAACACAATGATTCACAGGAACAAGGTTTAAACAAAAACTCAGAGAAAACAAAATGATTGTCCTGTTCTTGTTTTTCCTAAGCAACACTATTCTGGTTTCAGGTAATATCAAAAATATTTTGACAACTTTTTGAAAGTTAAAAGAACTGTTTATAGATTTGCATGTGTACAGCCAGTCTCCCATACTGCTGATATTTCAGCTCTGTTACTACATTTTTAACATTTTGTGTTTTTCACTTCATGAGTGTTTAAGATCATGTTGTATTTTGTTTGATGCTTTGTTGATCATTTTTCCACAGGTTCCTCTCTCAGTGAGAAAGTCCATCAGACTCCAGCTGACATGTACAAGAAACAAGGAGAAAAAGCTGAAATCAACTGTTCACACAGTGTTGACAACTATAATCAAATCCTCTGGTACAAGCAGTCAAACAGACAACTACAGCTCCTGGGATACTTTTATGCAAACAGCGGAAAACCAGAGCCTGGGGTGAATGTAAAGATAGAGGGGGGTGCAAATAAAGGAGAGACCTGCACATTAACAACAGAAAGACTGAACAGCAGTGCAGTGTACTTCTGTGCTGCTAGTTACCACAGTGCTTCATATCACTGCTACTCAGTACAAAAACTTGTACTGTATTACAGCTCACATCTCCTTACACCTGGAATAAGCCATTCTAACCAATGTTGGTATTTCTTCTGATTAAGATCTGAGATTATAATGGGAGGTCCTTTCTATGGAGCCATGCTGTTGACATCACACCTCCCATTATAAAAAGCAGCCTCTGACATTCAGTGTCTGTTGTGGCTCCATCTCGTCTTATCAGAATCATGATGGCTCGAATACTCATCACATTTGCAGTCTCGTCTCTGTGGTTTCAAGGTACAAGAACAAAAATGTATTTTTCTGCAGTGTGAGAGAGTGTACGGTTTATTAATATTGTGTGTATTTATGAACATGGTAACAGGCTGATGGAGAGCTACATGTAGTCTCTAATTCTGACAACAAAACTGGGCTGAGAATCATTCAGTAGGAGAGGACGTAATGTTTTTAATCTTTTCAAATGTCTACATGTGATACACAACACAAATTACTGTGAGCATTTAA